AACAAAACAATAGGTAACCAAAATCCCAAAGCAGGATTTCTCGCCTGAGACTTTACTGGGCCCACTGATATTTGAGTTTTCTGAGATGCTCGCCATTTCTTTCAGCTATCCAGTTTTTGGCCATGTCACCAAGCTTGGAGGTGGTACATATCTTGGACACAAAACCATGAGCCTATTCTGGAGAGTGGCCAGAATTCAGGAAGAAAACTGGAAATTAGGAAGATGGTAGGTGTTGCCCAAGGACAAGGCAAGCCACAGTATATTCATAAATTTGGCAGATGAATGCTGGGAAGCTTTCTACTAGACAGGACACATCCATTGATGCATTCTCTTTTCTAATGTCCACAACTCGAAACACAGTGGAATACACAGACATAATAACACTGGCCTTGTCAACAGATTTGCTAGAAACAATCCACTCAAATCCAAACAAACTGCCTTTCCTACATTTTTTCAAAATATGAGACAAAACCACAAACTCACACCCAAACACACAGCCACCTCCTTCCCCCAAGGATGTCTGTGACTACCCGGAGTGTTGTCTGACTGGTGGGCCATATTATTTTATCCCAAAATTGCCTTGACTGTCTCAGATCTGGCCTCTTTGGCCAACTCTGTGAAGTTGTCAGGAGGCAGTGGTGAGCCACTACATGCTTTCTCAGGAAAGGCCTCCTTTAAGAGCTTTTCTGGCAATTGGCCCTCCTCAAATCTGTAGGTACCAAAAAAACTGACTCTGTCCTTGATAAATCCAAAGAAGAGAGCCCCCTTGGACTGGGACTGGAACTGCCTTTGGGTTCCTGGCATACTGGATTCCAAGTTCAGAGAGTTCCACCACAAAGGAAGTGTGGTGAGGTCACTTTCTTCAGGAACTGAATGAGGTCACTGCCTATGAAACCACTTTGTCCTAATTGTTGCTTCCAAGGGTCCAATAAGATTGAGGCTGCCCCTGCTCCTGTTACACTTCCACAACTTAGAATGGTATATCAATTATAGGCACCAAGGAAAAGCTCTCCACACAGGCCTGCTTTGGTCCATCTTGTCTACATTAAAAAACGAGAGGCTCATTCAGACACATCCCTTCATCCTGACCAGGTTTTTTGCCACGGAAGATGACTTTTGCTCTCTCAGGTCTTTCCTAGCTGCCTACATCTTCTCCAGGGATCATTTCTGCATGGACCTTTGAGGTTCTCAGCAGGTGCAAGATCCCCTACATTCCTGTATTGTAAGACCAACTCTATCCCTGCTCTTTTGTAAAGTTAGATTGAAGAAACAGTGTATGCTTGGGGTTAAGAACATGTTCAATTAGGGTTAGGAATCATTCTGCTGGATGAAGAATGGTATTGGGAACCTGTGATATTTATAATAATATAGAGATGAAATATATGTATGAAAACAAAAATCTAAGTAAGATTTCAAGGCCAGGAGGGCATTGGGCCCTTGATTGGGATACTTAGCTTTGAATTACATTCTGTACAGATGTCTCCGATAAATCCATATACAATGGCACAGGACCTTGTACCTTGGATGATTGAACGTAGAAGAAATCATCCAGTCAAAAAGGATAGTAGGTAAAATTAAGAAGATAGTCAGTAGGTTTAGGAAGAAGAGTGAGTATAAAATTTGAACCAAAAGTTCTTTAGCAATAGGGTGTCTGTTAGAGAGTGAATGAAAATGTCAGCACATGTGAAGAGTCAGTCACAATGATGAACTGGGGAAAATATGTAGAAAAGCAGATATGGATATAGACATTAGGAAATCAGGCAAAGTATAAAATGAGTGATAGGATTAGACATTTTCAACATGGTTGAGGTTAAATATATAATCTTAGGCAGAAACAAATGTGTAGTCACCAATAGGATTGATATTTGAGAGCATTAGGCAAACTGGACAAGGATGTTTTGCGTAATCCATGCTCACTTTCCAATTAGGCTTTGGAACAATCATAAGTGTGACCTTTGCATTTTGTGTCCACAATATCACTGTGACAAAATGTATATGTAGATCAGGTGACATGAGTATTTCTTCCACTCTTTTGGGGAGCAATATGTTGAAGATGTATAAATTAGCATTTGGGGGTATAAATAGGTGTACCCTGGGTCTATGAGTATAGAGATAATGCATGAATAGACCATACTGTGAATGAAGAATATAAATGGTTCCAATTTAAATAATTGGTTTAATTGATATCTGAAAAGATATAGAAAATCTTATACTGATACAGGATCATTCATTCCAACCAGTTATATATCTAATGGTAATATAGAGGTTATGGTTTAACCTGAATGGTGTATGAGTTTTGCTTCAAAAGTGATTATGGAAATCCAAAATAATGTGTTTAGAAAGAAGTCTCATGAAAAGACCAGTCAATAAAAATGGAGGAATACATGTGTTCTGAAGCCGGATTTGATTGAAAGTGAACCAAATGCCTAGAAATTTGTGAACTTGAGGATTAAATATATATCTTATGATGTGCATCAACTAAAGAAATAGTAACGTAGCAGTGTTGAATGAAAATGAATGTCAAAATACACATCATGTCCCACAGGAGTCTACTTGCTTTG